GCATCTATTCTCCACGTTTTGCATGCTTCATCTCAGTATCTCTTACATCTTAAATGCTAAAGGTGGCTGGGCACGGTGGCTCACATCTGAAATCCCAACACTTTGGGAGTCTGAGGAGGGCAGATCACTTGAGGACAGGAGCTCAAGACCAGCCAGGCCAACATGGTGAAACCCCGTCTCTATTAAAAGTACAAAAATTAGCCAGGCATGGTGGTAGGTGCCTGTTATCCCAGCTATTCAGGAGACTGAGGCAGGATAATCACTTGAACCCGGGAGCCGGAGGCTGCAGTGAGCCAAGATCACACTACTGCATTCCAGCCTGAGTGACAAAGCAAGAGTCTGTCTCTAAATAAATAAATAAAATAAAATGCTGAAGGTGAGGCTGAAGTCACCAGAACCAAACATGCTACCAAGGATGAGGAATTCTTAAACAGTAAAAAATAGGAAATGAAATAATTGAATTCTGAAGCTTTAAGTAGATTAAAAGATTTAGCCGAGAGATAACAGTGACTAAAACAAACTCTAGCCTGCCAGAGTTTGAATCTGGGCTATATCATTTCTAGTTTCTCTAACCTTGGGCAATTACTTTTATTTTTTAAGGCGGAGTCTCCCTCTGTTGCTCAGGCTGGAGTGCAGTGGCATGATCTCGGCTCACCGCAACCTCTGCCTCCCGGGTTCAAGCGATTCTCATGCCTCAGCCTCCTGAGTAGCTGGGACTACAGGCACATGCCACCATACCTGGCTAATGTTTGTATTTTTAGTAGAGACAGGGTTTCACCATGTTGGCCAGGCTGGTCTTGAACTCCTGACCCCGTGATTCGCCCACCTTGGCTTCCCAAAGTGCTGGGATTATAGGCGTGAGACACCGCACCCGGCCACAAAGTTACTTTAAACCAGAGAACTACCCAGGTGCCTTTACACTTTTATTTTTTTAAGTGAAAGCAAGTTTATTAAGAAAGTAAACAAATAAAAGAATGGCTACTCCATACACTTCCCTTCTTGTCTCCAATGGTAGAGGGCCTGTTTCAGTCATCAGGTTCCACTACTAAACTCCTTTCATTCTGAGGACAGAAACAGTATCTAAAAAAGCATACAAACCATTATCATCTCAGTGGATGGGAAAAAAGGCGGGTAGGGGTGTGCTATCTTCTATTCATGACAACCCAGAAAACTAGAAGGGGACTACCTTAATCTAATAAAAGGCATTGATCTAGACATCTACATAAAACCAGTAGAGGCCAGGTGAGGTGGCTCACTCCTGTAATCCCAGCACCTTGGGAGGCTAACATGGACGGATTGCTTGAGCCCAGGAGGTGGGGACCAGCCTGAGCAATATGGCAAAACCCTGTCTCTACTAAAACACAAAAATTAGCCAGGTGTGGTGGTGTGCGCCTGCAGTCCCAGCTGCTCGGGATGCTTAGATGAGATCACTTGAACTGGAGAGGTCGAGGCTGCAGTGAGCCATGACTGTACCACTGCACTTGAGACTGGGTGACAGAGCAAGACCCTGTCTCAACAAAACGAAACAAAAACACCACCTACTAGCAAACAGTCTTGATGGAATATTTAATGCTTTCTTCCTAAAACTGGGAACAGGGCAAGGATGTAAGCCCACGGGAACAGCACGAGACCAAGCAAGTAAGGTACAAGTGAAAGGAAGGAGCAAGTGCAAGGATGTACTCCCACTCAGATGCCCACTCTACGCTTCCACTGCCCTGACGGTGCCTCCTTACATTTTACTATATATCTCACCTTAGTCACAGTCTGCTCTTACCTCTTTTACTCACCATGGAAGTCCTAACCAGTGGAATAAGGGAAGAACCAACCAACCACCCACTATTGGCAAATTCTCATAAGTCAACATTTTTAAAGTTGCCTTTCTATAAACTAGTACCAGTTGGAAAAAGAAACCAATTCCATTTAGACTAGCATCAAGAAACCAAAAATGCTCAGGAATTCACAAAAAACTAGCCGGGCACGGGGGCTCACACTTGTAATCCCAGCACTTTGGGAGGCCGACGCGGGTGGATCACCTGAGATCAGGAGTTCAAGACCAGCCTGGCCAACATGGTGAAAACTCATCTCTACTAAAAATAAAAAAAATTAGCCAGGCATGGTGGCAGACACCTGTAATCCCAGCTATTCAGGACGCTGAGGCAGGAGAATCGCTTGAACCCAGGAATTGGAGGTTGCAGTGAGCTGAGATCGCGCCATTGCACTCCAGCCTGGGTCACAGGAGCAAAACTGTATACAAAAACAAAACAAAACAAAACAATTCAACTTAATTCTAATAATCCCACCAGGCTTTTAAAAAAATTGAAACCAACAGGTTTGTTATCGTATTTATATCAACATCTAAAGGACAAAGTAATCTGAAAACAGAACAAAAGAAGACAACTTGACTTCAAGACTTTAAAGCTTAGCAATCAGTATTATATGGGCATATAGACAGACAAAAAGTGGATCAGTGAAAGAGAATACACTCCAGAAGACTGGGTGCAGTGGTTCTCACCTGTGAGGCAGGTGGATCACATGAGGCCAAGAGTTCAAGACCAGCCTAGCCAACATAGCCAAACTCCGTCTCTAATAAAAATACAAAAACTAGCCAGGTGCGGTGGCATATGCCCATAGCCCCAGCTACTTGGGAGGCTGAGGCATAAGGATCCCTTGAACCCGGGAGATGGAGGTTGCAGTGAGCCGAGATCGCATCACTGCACTCCAGCCTGGGCAACAGAGCAAGATTCTGTCTCAAAAAAAAAAAAGCGAGAATACACTCCAGAAACGGAGAAAAGAATCTTTCCCACAGTGTTAGAATAACTTGATGGGGGGAGAAAAATGAACCTCAAGCTCTACCCTACACCACATACAAAAACTTGAGATTGATAATAGACCTAAACATAAAAGCTTAAACATTTTATGAGAAAACAATACCACCATAACAATCTGGAGGTAGGCAGATTTATTTAGAAAAAGTCCACTTAAAAATTGATAAATTAAGACTCCAGTGGAAACTTCTGCTCAAAACACTATAAAAAAAAAATCAAGAGTCAAGACACACAATGGGGAAAATATTTGTAAAATAACTGACAAGGAATTTTATTCAAAATACAGAGTTCCTATAACTTGGTAATAAAAAACAACCTAATTTAAAAATACACACTCAAAGACATATTAATGGCCAATAAACACATGAGAACATGTTCATTAGAGAAATGCAGACTGAAACCACAAGATACCACTTCATGGCCAGAAGTCACAATATTGGTGTGCAAATGTTCACAGCAGCTTTACTCACACTTGCCAAAAACTAGAAATCAATAAAATGTTCACTAACAGGAAAACAGATGAACAAATTATAGTATATTCATACAATAGAGTCCTACTCAATAAGGACTGTTGAACTTCAACAATGTTTATGCTGAAAGAATTACAAAGTTCTAGGGAAGGAAAGTAAAAATGAACCCTAGTCTATGATGAAAACATTTGAATATGGTGGTGGTAGGAGATTGCTTAATTGCCTGGGTAGAGGTAAATGAGCTCATTTTGTCCTGGTAAGGTGTGGGCGAAGGAGAATCATTTATCAAAATTATAGCTTAGATTTGTGTGTATGCATATGTATCTTTTAGATGAAGTCTCACTGTGTCGCCCAAGCTGGAGTGCAGTGGCAATCTCAACCCACCGCAACCTCAGCCTCCCAGGTTCAAGTGATTCTTCTGCCTCAGTCTCCTGTGTAGCTTGGTCTACAGGCATGCGCCACCACTCACGGCTAATTTTTGTATTTTTAGCAGAGATGGGGTTTCACCATGTTGGCCAGGCTGGTCTTGAACTCCTGACCTCAGCTAATCCACCCACCTTGGCCTCCCGAAGGGCTAGGATTACAGGCGTGAGCCACTATGCCCGGCTAGATTTATGCATTTCAATTTAAATTTATCGAAAAAGGGCATGTAGTTAGTAGACAGATATGCCTAACTAGAATGGTGTTGAAACTTGTATATAAAGGTTTAGTGTACCATTTTGTTTACTTTGTATGTTTGAAAATTGTCCCTATTAAGACTCCATATTAAGACTTTGTAATCCCTGCACTGTGGGAAGCCGAGGCAGGCAGATCATCTGAGGTTGGGAGTTCGAGACCAGCCTGGCCAACATGGTGAAACCCCATCTCTAATAAAAATACAGAAAATTGGCCAGTCATGCCTGTTATCCCAGCTACTTAGGAGGCTATCACTTGAACCCGGGAGGTGTGAGTGAGCCAAGATGGCGCCACTGCACTCCAGCCTGGTGACAGAGCGACATTCCATCTCAAAAAAAAAAAAAAAAACCCTCCATATTGTTTACAAATCTAAAATCTATTGTCTGGGCCCCTAGGCCATATATCCAACAATTTATCAGGTATCCCTTGACAAGGGATAACATCTGTTTGATGATTTTCTTACCATCTTGAAGTCACATACCTCTAGCTTTGTTTCTAATTTCACCATAGGGTTCTGTTGAGAATCCAGGAAAACTGGTGGCTATTGCACAAGTCATGATTTTTGTTTTTGAGACAGGGTTTCACTTTTGCTTGGGCTGGAGTACAGTGGTGTGATCACAGCTCATTAGTCTCAACTTCCTTTTATTTATTGTAGAGACAGGGTCTTGCTATGTCGCTCAGGCTGGCCTCAAACAATCCTACCACCTCAGCCTCCCAAACTTTTGGGATTACAGGTGTCCAGCCATGGCGCCCAGTCTAAAGTTGTTTTGGAATAAGAATTTAGACACTTGACCAGGCACAGTGGCTCACGCCTGTAATTCTAACACTCTGGGAGGCAAAGGTGGGCGTATTGCTTGAGGTCAGGAGTTCAAGAACAGCCTGGCCAACAGGGTAAAACTTTGTCTCTGCTAAAAACACAAAAATTTGCTGGGTGTGGTGGCACATCCCTGTAATCCGTTATTTGGGTGACTGAGGCACGACATCACTTGAACCTGGGAGGTGGAGGTTGCAGTGAGCCTAGATTGCACCACTGCATCCAGCCTGGGTGACAGAGCAAGAACGTCTTAAAAAAAAAAGAAAAAAAAATTTTTTTTTTGGTCACTTGCCATCATTCAAGGCACTAGCACAGAGGCCTGCAGGAGGGCCCTAAGGGAAGAAAATCAGAAAATTCAAACTAATGGAAATGTTTTAGGAAATCACAGGACAGTCTCTGAAAGCAGGAAAGGATGGAATCCAAATTAGGAGCACCTCTTCTATTATGACAAGAGGAAGGGCAAAGTGGATGAGATTATAAAGCCTGAAGCCCAGAACCCAACAAATCCATCACAATTGTCCATCCAGGAGAATAAAATAATGTAACATTTCCACTTATGTCTCTATGATGGAAACTTGATGACTACTTACTAACGAACCCCCAAATTCACTCACCTGTTTTTGGCAAATGAATTTTGTGAATTACATATTGCACAGATACGTAATATTTTGCTTTTCTAGGAACACCATCTGTTTTTAATGAAAATTGAGGAAATATTTTCTAACTGAAGCATATTCTGAGAAAAATCAGAATATACATTTTCATAACATTTTCAGCTTATTACATATTTGACTGTAGAACTAAAATGTTGCCAAATAAAGAAAATGGCAAAGCCAAGTGTGATGGCAGAAGCCTGCAGTCCCAGCTACTTGGGAAGCTGCAGCAGGACTGCTTGAGCCTAGGAGTTCAAGGAAGCAGTATGCTATGATCGCACCTGTGAACAGCCACCGCACTCCACCCTGGACAACAGAACAAGACCCTAAGTTAAAAAAGGAAATGATCACGCTTATACATTTTTTCTACTTAATAGAAATAACCATGAATGAAATAAGGAAACTTATAGTTTGATCATCCTCAACCAATGTTTTAAGAGTCTAGTCTATAATAAAGATTGGGACCTAACACTTTTAAACTTTTCTCTAACTCCAAACTCATAAATACACATTGTTATATTGATTTTAAACTTTTCTCTAACTCCAAACTCATAAATACACATTGTTATATTGATTTTAAACTTTTCTCTAACTCTAAACTCATAAATACACATTGTTATATTGCTTTTAAACTTCAGATATAGAGTATTTGGTCAAGTAGGCTCCTTTAAAAAACAGGGCAACAGAAAAGTTTCTGAATGTCACTAGACAATTAAACTTTTATTGAAGCGTAAATTGTGGTACAGAAATACATTTCAACTGATTTAAGTCCAACACCAGTGAAAGGAGAAATTATGGCACCAAAACTTTCCCTCTTCTATCAAACCATGATTTAGATTATGATTCAATCTACATTTCTCTTTTCTAGGCTTTGTCCCATACAAATTTGTGCAGTTTTTCAACATTAGAATTCTTAATTCTATTAGGAAAAAAAACAAAACAAACAAAAAAAAACCCACAGACCTCAAGTCAACAAATCTATTGGGATACTGTTTACGAACAAAGTCCACCTTAAGCATTGGTCCTTAAAACAGAGCTCCTCAAAATATTAGGTGCTGTGCTCATTACAGAATCAAACTTACACACTGACTGAAAACTTCAATGAAATTTTCAATCAACAACATGCTTCAAATAAAAGTCAAACAGTGTTCCAACCACTTGATTTCAAACCAAGTAGATTTTAGGTTTAGAAACACTAAAAAAAGGTGTTTCATTTATAAATACGGAAGGAACAAAAACATCACTGCATCAATCCAGAAATTATCAAAATATTTAGAGGACAAGAAATATAAAATTTAGTCAACTTTGCCGTTTTCTCAGTTCCTTAAAATCCCAGAGTATCTGCAAATATAGCTAAAAGGTACCAACTCTTGAAAGCCTATATTACTAGTCATTTCTCATTGAGTATTTTGGAATTTTATTTATGTTCTACTTATTTATTCATGTATTCTACTTTATGATGTTTATCTGAATAATCTGGACAAATTCTCATTCTGGGCAGTCATTCATTTCATCCTATGAATGCCATGGTGAGGGAAACACCGTAGGTTAGAGGTACAGATGAAGTCAGAACACACATGCATCACAGTCACAGAACTTTAAGTCACAAGATGGAAAAGACATTGATTCTGCTTTGGATCAAAGTTTATAGAACACTACTTAATGGAAACTAGTGGAAATGGCTGCTAAAGGAAAAGTTAAGGTGAATGATCCAAGCTGACTTGATTTACTGAATCCAGAACAAAATTATGCTAAATCTCTCTGGTAATTAACTAAATAAAAAATCATTTTATACTACTACTTAGTAGGTTAGTAAAGGCGTGCTACTCATTAGACGCTAATCTCATTTACTGAGGAACACAGAATTGTATGTTTTCCACAGTTCAGCCAGTACACCCTAATCTCAATCTACAACTCTGGGTCTTCCCTGCTAATCAACTATTTTCCAAAAGAGCACATTACAATAAAAGAGAGGCTAAATTCCCATGCCCTTTAAATATTAAGCCCAGGGACCATCTCCTCCATTCCCCATCTGGGGTATAGAATTAGTATATATAAACCCACAGTGTTAACAGTGTATTGCTTTATTTGGGGTCTTGGGGGAGACACCAGGGAGAGGGAAGAAATCAAAGGACTATAAATGCAGGGTCCAATAATGTTAAAATAGTAAATATGCAAAATGAGTAACTGGAATCATTTTCTTAAGGACTCAACTCATAGAAGAAAAACTTTAATTGCTGTTTCAAAAAACATCAGTATGAAGTAGAAATTGGTTTCAATAACATTAGTAAAGAATATGTTCTAGAAAGTGGAGGTAACTGGATGTAAAATTCTGGCAGCAATTTAATAGAACAGTCCCAGAGGGTTAGGCTGAGGCCAACACCTAATGAGGACGAAAGCCTTGTCTGTGGGGAATTTTGGATGATACTTGGAGAAATATTACACTGTGCATAAACCAAATTGAGTTGCTTTCACAAGTGTTGTAAAGTTTCATATAGTAAAAGGTTTTTTCTACATGCACTTCAATTTCACAGCAAGAGTGGCAGAGAATACCTAAACACAGAAGAGAGCATTCATGCAAGATATCTAACTCCTTGATATAATAATGCATACAATTCAAAATGATTACACTATCATTACATCTAGGGCTTTCTGCAACTACACAGTGGTGGTTATGGAAAGCACTGCCCCCAGCATCGACATCTAGAAAGCATCCACCACCTTCTACATGTGTTCTCTTTTTGCGTTTTTTCTTCATTTTTCTTAATCAACTCTGCTGTTGTTGCTGCTTCTTAGCAAAACTGGTAAAAACAAAATTGTAATCATTGAACATAGCACTCTGGCAATCAAGACGCTTAAAACCTTCAATCTTCTGAGGCGAAGCAAGCACTGTGCGACATTTAGAACTCTGCGGGAAAAAATTAAATAACCATTAGTGTTTGCAATCCAGAGAAGTATTTTCAACCAAAACAGTTAAGTGACAGACTTTTATCTTAATGAAACTAAGGCATTTGAGTTATTTTAGCTGCCTTCTTATGTGCTGGAGGGACCAGGGCTTCTTATGGTTCCTCCCACCAGGCCTGTCAATAGCAAGACAGAAGGAACCCATCAATTTGGCTAGATAGAAAACAAGGACTGATATAGGTCTAATGAAACAAAGCTTCTCAGCTACCAGTAACCTCAAACAGTATTACTTCTGGATATCTGAGTGGCTGGTATATGTGCTATCTTAGAATACATCTTAGGCCTCAGTCTCATTTCCTTTAGATTTTAAAAACCAAATTACCTGATTAAAAATAAAATATAAAATTACCTGATTAACAAACAAGGTGGTCACAAATTTTCCTGGCTTGAAGACTTCTACAACTTTCCTGATCAGGTCATCATAGGAGGTCTGACTTAAGTTTGTTTCAAAGCTAACATAAGAAAATTCTGGTTCTGGAGTGATGTGAATAGTCCAATAAGTTCCCTGAGAGAAACAGTTCACAGTGTTAAGAATGGAAAGACTATTACATATTTAAATATTTAAATAATTATTGAAGCAATACATATAACTACTCACATCCGATTTCATTCCATTCATTGAATACCCACAAGGATTGAACATTGTGGCATCAATGACAGAACCTGGTATCAGGTCACGAATTCCACTCTCCTGGGGGGAAAAAAGACCGAGTTTAACAAAGGTTTGACAAATAAACTTCAAATGAGTTCAAAATTTAGTCCCAGGATGGGAGGAGGGAGAGGACCAGGAAAAATAACTAACTGGTGCTAGGCTTAACCCTTGGGTGACGAAATACTCTGTACGACAAACCCCCATGACACAAGTTTACCGACGTAACAAACTTGCACTTGTAACCCTGAACTTAAAAGTTAAAAGAATGAAAAATAAAATTTAGTCCCCATGCAGAAGAATCCAGCAACAATTATTACTAAAAATGCTTACACGAGTGACATCCTTTGCAGTAACACCATCTTTCATGTAGAACTGGTCCATAACTGCTGGGTCAAGCTCACTCATCAGAATTTCCAAGGTTTGATCTGGCTGACTGATTACCCGACTCTCTGGGAAATCCAGAGTATATAAGTACCTAAATAAAAGTTAAAAATGTTCCTAAAAATGACAATTGGCAGTTTAAATTAAATCTTACATAGGACAACAAAAATCCACAAAATTATACTAAACATACCAACAGTCAGAATTCATACGTCCCATACAGTATGCTGCTCCATCTGTTGAGGGAAAAGAACACAAAATAAATATAACACATCCATTTAATAGGATGGTTTGTTACTACCCTTTCATAATAAGCAGAATGATACTATTTGCCACTTATTAGAAATGTCATCCATAAGTGGAACGGGCATAGTAGCTCATGCCTATAATCCCACCCCTTCTGGGGGAGGCCAAGGTGGGCAAATCACTTGAGGTCAGGAGTTTGAGACCAGCCTGGCCAACATGATGAAACCCCATTGCTACTAAAAATACAAAAATTAGCTGGGCGTGTTGGCGCACGCCTATAATCCCAGCTACTTGGGAGGCTGAGGCAGGAGAACTGCTTGAATCCGGGAGGTGGAGGTTGCAGTGAGCCAAGATCATGCAACTCCACTCCAGCCTGGGCGACAGAGTGACACACTGTCTCAAGAAAAAAGAAGAAATGTCATCAGTGAAAGGAAAGGAAACAGTAGGTGAATTCCCAGATAAGGAGAATCGACTGACTTGGTGGATATTTGCACCAAACACCCAACACTCTGATTAGCCTGATTTGGTTTCATACTAGTAGATGTGCTAAGTTCGATTTTCATGCTTGTAAGCGACTTTGTGCAAAGTTACTAAATTATCTTAGGTTTTCAGCCTTATCTAGGAAGTAAGGATGTTATCAGATAACCTTTGGTTCCCTGACCTCTATAAATAAAAGCTTAGTAAAAGGATGAAAGAAACCCTTACCAATTTCATTCAGGAAACACTACTTTACACTGTGCAATTTTAAAAAGCCAGGTCAATTGTTATATAAAATGCTGGAGCAGAGCACTAGGCATTTTTCTGGAGGGAATCATATAACCTTGTTCATATTGTCAAAGGACATTATGATCTATAGGTTAAGAACCACTGAGGCTAGAGGACTGCTACAGGCCAGGAGTTTAAGACAAGCCTAGGCAACATAGTGAGACTCCATCTCTATTAAAAATTTAATAGAAATTAGCTGGGTGCTTGAACTCAAGAGTTTGACATTGCAGTGAACTATAATGATGCCAATGCTCTCCAGCCTGGAAGACAGAATGAGAGTTTGTCTCAAACAAACAAAAACGCAAAAAGAACCAGAGTGAGACACAAAATAGAGTGACTGGCCAGATGAAGATGAACTCTCTCTATGCTATATGAAAAACCAGAGGTGGCAGGTGATCAATTCTACATTTTAAAATTCCATCCGTTAAACACCACTGATTTATGACGCACAATTATTTTTACAAGTGCATGTGTATACATAATTTGTAATAAACTATCTGTTCATCTCTCTTAACTAAAAATATTTTATCTGATATTTTAATGCTCTTTATAAATTCTGCATATTTTGAATTACAGGTTATATAAAGATCACTACTGTACTCCTAAAACACCCAAGTCAAAGTAAATATGGATCAGGTGCAGTAACTCACACCTGTAATCCTAGCACTTTGGAAGATCAAGGCAGGTGGAACCCTTGAGTCCAGGAGTTCAAGACCGGCTTGGGCAAACATGGCAAAACCTTGTCTCTACTAAAAATTAAAAAAAAAAAAAGGCCGGGCGCGGGGTGGCTCACGCCTGTAATCCCGCACTTTTGGGAGGCCGAGGGGCGGATCACGAGGTCAGGAGATCGAGACCATCCTGGCTAACACGGTGGAAACCTCGTCTCTACTAAAATACAAAAAATTAGCCGGGCGCGGTGGCGGGAGCCCTGTGGTCCCAGCTACTCAGGAGCTGAGGCAGGAGAATGGCGCGAACCCGGGGAGGCGGAGCTTGCAGTGAGCCGAGATGGTGCCACTGCCACTCCAGCCTGGCGCATAGAGTGAAGACTGCCGCTCAAAAAAAAAAAAAAAAAAAAAAAAAACTATATTATATATATATGCCAGGTGTGTGGGTGCGCACCTGGTAAGCCCCAGCTACTTGGGAGGCTGAGGTGGAGACCACTTGAGCCTGGGGATGTTTGAAGGCTGCAGTGAGCTATGATCACACCACTGTACCAGCATGGGTGACAGAATGAGACCCCCGTCTAAAACAAACCAAAAAACCCATAAGGAAAGCAAATATGAGTGTATGTAGAGTGCTATATCTGCATACATATGCTCTCATATAGAAAGATCTCTGAGAGGTTGCACTTTCTATCTTTAAGAAGACAACAGGTTTAGATTTTATTTAAACTTACTTGGGAAAATTGCATTAAGAAACTCTATTTCTTCCTGGAAATTCCGGTGTGGGTACCCTTGGTGAGAAGGCTTCATGAAATTCTTACGAGAATAAAAGAAGCTCTTTATTAAAAAAGAAAAAAAAAAAGATAACTTTTAGCTGTAGAATTCTATCACTTTTTGAAGCTAATCAACTATTTCCCACATACCAAAACTCGGCAAAATCAAAACTCAAATATTTTAGCTGGGCATGGTAACATATGTCTGTAGGTTCTGCTATTGGGAGGGTGAGGCAGGAGGATCACTTGGTCCAGGAGTCCAGCCTGTACAACATACTGAGGCCCCAACTCTCCCTCTCTCTCTTTTTTTTTTTAAAAAAAAAGCCCAGTCTA